TAAAGACCAGAGGAGTACAGAAGGGAGAAGAAGACACCGAAATATAACTTGGTATAATCCACCTTTTAGTAAGAACGTTGCTACTAACGTGGGAAAAAAAAAATAGGAAAAGAATCGTAAAATAATCCTTTTCATCAGGGCACCAACTAAGAAAAATTTTTAATAGGAACACTTTGAAAGTGAGCTATTCATGCATGCCAAATTTTGAAAAAAAAATCAACGCCCACAACAAGTCCTCCCTCGCAAATAACTCTCCATCACAAGAAAAATAATGCAATTGTAAAGACAGACATTCTTGTCCGCTGCGTGGTAATCGCCTAATTCAAAATGTGGTCTACCAGGCCACAGTTGAAATTCCCTTGGGAACCCAAACGTACATCGGCCTTACCGCGAACCAATTTAAAACAAGATTTAGAAACCATACAGCTTCATTTAGACATGAGAACAAAAGGAACGCAAAAGAGTTGAGCAAGTATATCTGGTCTCTAAAGGATGCTGAGACGGAGTTTTTCGTGACCTGGAAAATAATGGCTTGCGCCAGGCCGTACTCGAATACTACAAAGAGATGCAATCTTTGTATAACTGCAAAATTCTTCATCATATGCAGAACAGGGGTGGGCACCCTAAACAAAAGGAACAAACTGGCGAGTGTGTGCCGGCACTCAACTAAATACTTGTTAAGGCATGCTTAAATCACCATCTTAAAAAGCATCGTTAGTCAAACCAGTATCTTATGCATCTGACGAGAGAGGACTTTTTAACCCTTTCGAAACGATATTTGTAGTGCGAAGCTCTAATTTTTATTTTCCTATACAATTGTTTAATTGTTTAGGTATATATATATATTCTTGAACTTGATTTGAATGTATTTCGAGGAGCGCTCAACTCTTAGAGTAGCATTTATAATTATAACAAACTGGTTCAAGGCTTCAGAGGTAGCTCATCGTTTTATCACGACAGCTCTGTTTCATATGGTCGAAAATGGCCACACTCATCAGGTAATTTTAACGATTGACCGTTAACTTACAATGACTGGCTATAAAAGCTGGAATACGGTTGCTAGGAGATACAAAAACAATGCAACTTAAGCATCTGTCAACAATATTTATTAAGAACTTTCTTCCCAGATTATACCATAACACTTTTCTTTTGCGATTTTTGTTGCGCTTTTGGGCTGGCTGTGGATCATATGTAAGCTTATAGTCTATCGGTGAAAGTATCTCCC